GGGGAGAGAATCGTTTTTATAATTATTTATACAATATGGTGGGAGATAAGACGGCTAGAGAGCTAACTTTTGTCTCAAATTTTATAAATCGAGTACATACGGGGACCGCATCGAAGAAGGTTTTTCTTCTTCAATATTATACCACTAGCCAGAATTATATTATAGAATTTATGCGTGACATTACCTGAGAATTTCCATAAAACATGATTAAATAGGAGGAAACTAATTTTTATATCGCTGTAATTCGTGGTGGTGTAACATTGATGCGCGATTGATAGCGACAATGCGTGGGTATCATCGCATTGCCGTCCCTAAGTTCATACCTCATCCAAGAAAGAAAAATGGGGGAGGGTGGGAGAAAGGCGTCCCACGCTGCACATTATGTAATCATTAAAGTGCATCTGTCTTTTTCAGAGGACTTTATTGACGCGCGGATTTAAGTTATCTGGAAAAATGCAGAAAGTATATTTTTCATAACAAAGTGCCTAGGCATATAACATTCGTTTGATCTATGAAGAAGAAAAATACGTTTTACCTGATTTTATGAATCGCGTTAGCCGATCATAATATAATGTAAATAAAATTTAGATCTTAATTACATTGTATTAGCGTTGATAATACTTTCTATTGGGCCCCTTTTATGCATACATTTTTCATCATATATACCATGATTATATCCGGCTCTTGAATACAAAATGGTAATGCGCAAAATCAAATTTTGCTCTATCTTAAAAATCTAACGAGAATTGTATTAAAATACGTTATAGAAATCGCTTGCATCAAAGGAGTCTTAATGACAATTTATCGTAACACATTATGTGTATTAGAATCGTGCAAAAACAAAAATTTGAAAAAACATACATGTATAATAATAGCAGACGTACAGAATTAACATTACAATAAGTTATTTTTGGTCCATAGATTATCGGCGAGTGTGTATTTTTGATAAAGTCGAACATACAACTTTTTCGGCGCAATGAATAAAATTATAAAACTAAATATATAATAAGGGGGATGCCAATACTAATTTTTTCTTTGACAACCCAATTTGAAATTTTGCTAAAAACAATGCGAAGAATATTTGCCAAAGAAGACAAGTTAGTCTTTCGTTTCTCTCGCAAATCGCTTTAGCAAAAGTTAATTTTGGTATGTCGTAATTAATAAAATATATCTGCCTCTTTATATAAGTTAGAATGCATCGCGATTCGCGATATGAGGACAAATTAAAGTCATCTTTATGTTTAAACATTGAGGATGAAAACGGAATCACCTTTGTCAGATTTTGCTAAATAAGTGAAACTGCTCAAAATATATCATTTGTTATTGCATATGTAAGTATAAAAATGTGTCTAATGTACAATAATTTATATTTATGAGAAGAATTAATGTATATATATATAATTGTCGTAATGTTACAGGATACAATAAATCATTAACTGACAAACAAGCACATGTAATTACGATCAAATGTAGATTTATAATAGCATGTAAGCACAACGACTGAACAAAGAAAGAAAGCACAAACCAATCTTCATTATATCTTTTGTAATGTATTACAAAATATTTAAATTTTGTCAATAATATTCGCAGATAAGTTTATTCAACAAAGTATATTATCCCAGTCAGCCACATCTGTTCTAACAGATATTGCCAAGTGCTTGCTACAAATTATTGTCAGCAAAAATATTAGCTATTGAAATGAGAAGGGCATTGCAAATTTTTTAATTGATGATAATTATGACAAATATTGTAAATTTATTTTTACATGTTGGATTTTTCGATCCTCACGTAAGATATTTTGGTATACATGCTTTATTTTTAAATTTAAAAATAAAGAAGTTTGATATGGAAAATGATAATATTAAATCAATTTATACTAAAAATGTAGATTTAGTAAAATTTAAGTATGTGAAACGGATGAAAATTTAACATTTGCGAAACTACATAAATGCATGAACAAAGACTTGTTTGTTATAAACAATGTGAACAAATGATGTAGATAACTGTATTATCCGCTTTTTTTTGCTATTATTTTTCGACATCATGCATAGATGTCGCTTTCGACAATGTGATTTAAATGTATAAGTTTGATACAGCGCGCGAAAAGTTAGTTGCGTCGTCCTTTGATTTGTGTCGGTCAACAAATATTTCCAGCAATCCATCCCAGATCCGCCGGCATGGCGAGCTTATTGGACTTGTGCGAGCGATATTTCGGCGTCTGTAATTTTTATGATGTGTTGAAGATACCAAAAAGCGCGGACGACAAACAGGGTAAGCGAACGTTCGTCCTAATCTCTAGATCTGTATTTTTTTTCTTTCACTCTTTATAATAACAATGTTCGTTATTTCTCGTCTCATCAGTGAAGAAGGCTTATTACAAACTGTCGTTACTCATACATCCGGATCGGGTTGAGGATAGTATCAAGATCGAAGCGACTGAGAAGTTCAAAGTTCTTGGTAGAATATATTCCATTCTCAGCAACAATGAAAAACGCAAAGTCTACGACGAATCCATATCCATACAACACAACAAATGTGACAAGAAAATTGAAGTCGTCATGCGCAAATTAAACAACTATTTGAAATTCTTACTTGAAGAAATATCAACTGTCAAAGATATCAATAATTACGAAAACCTGAGGTCGTTGTTACGAAATGCTTTGTATCTCCTTCTCTTAAAGAAAAGGGATTACGACGAATCTATGCAATATGACGAATCCAAACAAAACGACGAATTCAGACAATACGACGAATTCAGATCATACGATGAGGAAATCGAAGATGTCATGCGCAACTTGACCGACTATTTGAGATCCTTACTTAAAGAAATATCAGTTGTCGAAGATATTAATTACGAGAAGATGAATTTGTTTTTACTAATTTCTTTGCGTCTCCTTCATTTAAAGGGAAGGGATTTATATCAACAGGACAGCAACTCTAGAAGCTCTAGAAAATAATACACACGCAGAGATTGCAAAGTTTTACTTTCTCAACTGTATATAGAAATAAGGGTATTTTAGCTTATTGTTAGTATATTAGCAAAAATATTCAGAAAAAAAGAAAGAAGAAAAATACCCAAACCAATATAAATCTCATAAATTATGTACTATTCCTCAGGAATTAGGCTTGATCAGAGCTGATATGAACTTAATTCGATTAATTAGTTTATTTACGTTAAAAGTTCACAGTTTGTATATTTGCTCTTGTACATTTCTTGTACATTGTACATTTCTTGAAGTTTGAAAGTTTTCTTGCTCTGCAACTTTCTTTGATGAATTACATAATTTAAATAGTGGAATCTATTTTTTTGGGACCGTATTTTATTTTGCATGTTGTTCTAGTTCTCTAAATCTTTCATTTTTGTTATCTCTACAAAGATATTTACCATATTTCCATAATTTGAATATATCGATTTCAGGGACCAATTTCTCAAACCTCAATTTTCGTTTGCTTTTAAAAAAGATGATTTATACAAAAGGTTGTAACAGTAATAATATCAAAACTATAATATAATTTCAGTTATCTTTAATAAATATATATGGATAAAAAGCCAATGTGAAGAAATGATGTACATAACTGTATTACCCGCTACTATCTACGACATCATGCATAGGTGTCGCTCCCGATGAAGTGATTTAAACATATAAGCAGAGAGAAGCCTGAGATGGGCCACGCCGGCGTTTTTCTTACGACGCTTACAACTAGTCGGTACAGTGGCGCTAACTGGATCCATTTTATGGCCGAGCGGAACCACAGATTAATAGACAGATAGCCAAAGGCCCGGATGAAGGCGAGACCAGTATTTCTCACTGGTTTCAGCGCCATACCGTAGTAGTGGCCAAAGCAGTAATTACGTTCGCAAAGTAAAGTCGCATCGTTAATATGAGGGTAATAAATTTTCGAAGTCAAAAGTCGCATCGTTAATACGACGGTAATGCTTTCCATTTAATCAAAAACATTAAGAGGATGCCGGACCGTCCTGTTTTACCGGCCATAATAATTATATATTTGCTTAATATAAGGGTTTTGCGGTGTGTACGTGCAAAATAGGATACCTCTCCACTCGGAAATGCATGAAGGAATATAAGTGAACGTTTGAAAATGTATTTGAAAGCCTAGTAAGAAACATTTCGGTGTGCAAAATGTTGCATAGTAAAATCTTTTTTATAAAGCTTCTAAACTCACTTCTCGAAGTTCACTAATACTCTTTGATAAAATGCCGAGTGCGGAGTTCACTTGTTAGGCACGTGCAGGTTGCAGGTTTTTTATATTAAGTAAATGTTGACGGCAGAAGCCGATAACAAAACTGTAATTTTTTAATTTTTTT